TGCACTGACGGGAAGGGGGAGAGGCAAGCAGTCAAGCACAGGTGTCTGTGTGTATTTTGTTTTCCAAGATAAGAGAAGCCTTTCCATGTTTGAAAGTGGATGGAAAGGAGCCAGGGGACAGGAAGTCAGAAGAGGAAGGGGATAGCTACCGGAGCAGGATGATCTGTAACAAGAACATAGGTAATTAGAAGCGATAAGAGGGAATTCTAGAGTAGTTTTCTCTGTGTTCTTCAAAACATCAAGCTCATCTTTACAACATGTCATGCATGGACATTCACCAGCACAGACTGCCATAGTCCCAGTTGCCTACAATCAGGCAGTGAATGGGAATAAATTAGTGAGCTGAAGCGAGTGGGCAGAGGGAACTCTCTAGTGACATGCTATAAAGGAGCTACAGCCTGTGGTACAGATAGATCATTCTGGAAAGAATCTTGTAGACAGACTAGCACAGTGCTGAGCACCCAGAGATAGTGTCTCTGTAAACCCAGGCACCAGGCCTCCTCAGCCAAACCACCAACAGCCACAGGGTACACAATCCATCCACAGAAGAAGACCAAAAACTGGACTGTGTCCAGGTGTCTGCGAATAACCACTCACATCAATCCTTTTACCATAAATGCAACAGGAAAATAACTTGGTCTAAGAAACTTTCTTCACACACACACACACACACACACTTTCAGTGTCTTACTGAATTCTTTAAAAATGTTCTGTAATGTGCCTTAAAAAATAACACTGTTTTAACTGAAATCCTTAGGCTTTAATATCCAGAGAGAGAACCAGCTTTGCTAGCAACTTGAATACCATATACATTTGGCAATTTGTAAGAATTCAGCAAAACTACAAGCTTACGTGAAACATGAGCAAAAGGACTTATTTCAGGCAGGAAGACCTCGAACAGCATAAGGACCAATCCTCGTGTTGACAAGAGCTAAGGTGTCTGAGAAAGACCCATCAGTAGATGGGTCTACATTTCCAGAAAAGGCCCATACTTTGCTGGGGATGAAAGTCAGTGTGTTAAATGGAGTTGAGCATTAATTGGAATTAAAAGCAAAAGAGTTCAGTATCACCTAACATATGAAAGTTTTCAAATAAATGTTTCTACTTTTCTCCCTTCCACACAAAGATTCACTTTTTAAATATTGCTTCTCCACATAGATTAAAAGCTTTGTCTCTAGTGAAGGAACTTACAGCAATCCCTAGTGTGAGAGAGAAGATTATTTTCAGCAGGTCATACTTTCCAGAGTTCCCCAGTCCATGTACATTGTCCGCTGCCTCCAGTACCAGTTTAGCATAACTGCCAAACACTGCATCCCACACAACTGGATTCCCTCCTGTACCCCTTAGGCTCCATAGGCAGCTTTATGCCTAACCTAGTCTCTGCTTGTTTCACTGCTAGCTGCTTACTCAGTGACCTTCAGAGGCTGACCACTGGGCACAGCAGCTTTTATTTCCCCCTCTAAATCAGCAGTGACTGATAGATGTGGGAGCAGAAAACCACTGACCCCTTATCAAGAGATGGGACAAACTTTGCAGTATCTTTCATGCTCTGGAGTTCCCCTGAGGATCAATTTGAGACTAGATTCACCTGAAATTTCAAAGCTTCTGGCTTCTTCTTTTTTTTTTTTTTCCTTTCTTCTTCATCTTACTTTTTTGCTCCCTTATTGGTTTCTCCTGAGGGCAAATACTTAATAATTAACTTACATAGAAGTCCCTGACGCAGGGTCTGCTTCTAGGAGCACTCAACACAAAACAGCCCTTCCTAATGACTCATTCATTCATTCAGAAATGTTCCCTGTCTAGGTTTTCCTCAATGCAGTGAAGAAGAATAACACATAGGTAGATGAAATATAACCATAAATGTTCTCAAGGAATTATGTGGACCTAAGTGACTACATATTTTACAGTAAAGGGAAACAAAGTTATGAGCATGCCATCTCCCCTGTCAAAGTGGCTTATAGCTAGTAGATCCTCATGAGTGCTAAAACATTTGGTCAGTCCTTGACCACATGCTGTTAGCCCTTGAGGAAGAGTCAATCGTATGCCTACAGTTTTATTTTATTCAATACTTACTGGACTTCATGAACCAGAGTATGAGAAACAAATGTATAGGCTAATAAGTACAATATGATATGTACATCTTGAATAATCTTCAAAATGCTGTGAATTATGAAAGAAGGAATAGTACCTTTTTAAGAAAATTGAAGGCTATGCCTTATAAGATAAATAGAATTAATTCTGGAGAGAGGTAGAGAGAAGCATTTTAGAAAGAGGGAATAGTACACTCTATCGCAGTTATGGGTGAAAGATCACTGGCTGTTCTTTGGAAGAGAGAACAATGGTTTAGGGATTGAAGCACAGTTTGCATGCAAATTAGAGGCAGAAGATCAATCTGGATAATCTGGAGGTGGAGGCTAGAGCCACTAGGTGGTGGACCTGAGGTAATTCAGGGCTTTGTCCTACAGCAATGTATTTGAATTTGACTGATGTTTGTCTTAGAGACGATAGGAAGACATGTTAAAGAGAAGAAAAACTGGGGTTGGAAAGAGTAACTAGAAGTGTATCATTAGGTTAAATCAGATATAAAACTCTCAATATAGAAACATTTTTTAAAAATAAGACTTTATTTTTTAGAGCAGTTCACAGCAGAATTGAACAGAAGGTACAGACATTTCCCATATACACCCTGCCCTCACACACACATAGCCTTCCCCATTAAGGACATCAGCCCCCAGAGTGGTGCATTCTTTAAAATCAATAAACCTGCATTGACACAGCATCACACACAGCTCCTAGTTCACACTAGGTACACTTTTGGTGCTGTGTAATGCTATGGGCTTGGACAAATGTCTAATGACACATATTCACCCTTAGAGTATTCCACATAATTGTTTCACCATGTAGAGCATAGGTCTTTTAGGGGCAGTTATTTGACCTATCAAAAATGATAATTTCATATGGCTCAAACTGATAGTCTAGCCAGGAATGAGGGCGAGAATCTAAAGAGCAGCACCAACACCAGAAAAGAGGAGTGAAATAAAGAAGCTCTATAAGAAAGAAAATCGATAGCCTGAAATGAGTGATCCATGGGTGGCAGAGGCAGAGAAAGCTGAGGAAGGCACAGGTGACAGCAAAGCAAAGGTCTCTACTGGGAATGACTGAGTGAATAGCCAAGAGAGCCCTGAGGGGAAGTGAGAACCCACAGGAGGAGCACCTCCCACAGCACCATAGGGACCCTGCCTGCTTCAGAACCCCGTGGTGCTTCACCAATTACCTGGCAACACTCATCCTTTATGCTTTCTCTGCTATTTGACACAAGACAGGCCATGATATCCAAATTCCTAAGGTTGTAGCTAGTACTGAAGTCTGGCTAACAAGTAATGTGAGTTCAAGAGTTTACTTAGTTAACACAGGTCTCTAAACGAGAACCCAGGAGCAAGACAGCTGGAGAAAACTGGTGGTCCTTGAAGGCAGGAACCTGTCCTAACAGGTTGTGTTTTAGCATTTTTTTTTCCCCATCAGAGTGCAAAAGGGGCTTTGATGTTCTTACGGAATAACTAGGAAAACCTGATATTTTTCTTCCCCCAAGTCTGACTATTCTTCCAGAGTCATAATAGTTCAGTGAAAATTGCTGAACTTTTTCTATTGGACAAAATGTGAATTTGGGGGTGGGGCTGCATAAAAGACATGTCATTTCAGGATGTTTTAAGCACGACCTTCCTAAAGTAGAAATCATCCATTTGTTGGACACAGTCAAGAACTGGAAAACTACATGTCCAAGTGGAGAACTTATGCAATGTTATGCCAGCTAGAGTAAGTATGCAAAGGCGAGCTTTATCATGTGTTTGAAAGAAAAAATCTTCTAGCAAAAAAAAAAAAAAAAAGACTGACCTAGAAAACATTGGGTTTCATTTCTTTCTGGTTTTGCTCGTAACAGTTTCTTGTAAGAATTTCATCTCATTCTGCTTTTTCTTGTAAGAGTATTACTGGAAAATGTTTAAAAATAGTTTTCAACTATGACAAAATATTTTCTTAGAATTTTTCCATTACATTCAAGGAATTTAGACTATAACTAGGAGAATGCCACTGAGGGATGGGCTTCAGGACCCGTTTTGCAGCATTATTCATTCATGCCACAAATATTTACTGACTCTGACCTATGTGCTAGGTGAGTGGTAGCTGTTGGAGATACAATGGTGCACAAAATCAGACAGATTTCCTGCCTTCATGAAGCGTATAGCCTAGATATACTGACAAATATTAAACAATCAATCACAAAATAGCTATTAGTTTCAAACTACACAGAGTTCCTAAAAGGGAACATAGTGATGGTTACATGGGGGGGCGGGCAGACCTAGTCAACAGGATGTCCTCTGAGGAGGTGATTTTTCAAGTTGAGACCTGTGAGATGAGTAGGAATCAGTCAGATGATGAAGGAGTGGAAGATCACTCCAGGCAGGAGAAATTGCTAGTGCAAAGGAGTATAGACCTGTGCATAATGTTCAAAGATGGCTAGCGTGGCTTAAGTGCCCAAGAACAAAAGGGCAAAAAGTTTTGAAACAAGGATACAGTTTCAGCCAGAGTCCAGATCAAACAGGGCCTGTGAGTTAAGGTTCTGGTCTTTACCCTAAGAGCAGTAGGAAGTCATGAAAAATAATAAGCTGGAGAGTGCTAGAATTAGATTTGCCTACATCAAATCATTTCAAGTCAAAGACTTTTTAGTCGGCATTCAATGAACACTGAGATAGCTGCTCTTGAGATTTAGATTTAGAAGTTGATGTCATAGCATAGGAAGAATGAAAAGCGTCAATGAAAGCACAGAGTTGAGAATGAGATGGTCTTGGGGAGATAACAGTGAAGACATCTTTATTTACTAGATCATAACCAATGTGAGTTGATATGTGGGTTTTGGTTTTCTTTAGAATGTTCAAGGAAGTATCATCTGACAAAAGGAGTCATGATCAATAATTCTGTCCCTGAAACCTTCTGTCTGTTCACAGATCAGGTATCACACAAACAACTACGCATCCAGCTCCACCTCCTTACCCCACCAGTGCTCCTCAACCTTGATGTGGAGTGACCACTTGGAAAGGTGAGAGTTAGAAGCTGCCTAGGTTTACACTATAGCCGTCTGTCATCTTTCTGCTCTGCTTTGAGTTCATGCTTTGAAGGCAGAGTATCTCTAAGAATCAAAGTGCAAATGAAAGCATACACATGTGATTAAAGAGTACCAGATTCCTAAGAAGAGCTATTGTTGCTTTTATCTCTACTTAAATTTCCTCCAAGACCTTTGTGTGATGGGCTCCAGTCTGGTCTTGTGACAAACCAATTCTTCCATGAAAAAGCCTGCATGTCACTAATTTTCCACTCCACTCTCCGGGAGTATTTTAAGGTTAAGCTACTGTTTTAATTAGACATCAGAATCCAGCGTGTTCACCATATGGCTAGCACGCTCTCGGTCGCCCTTCTGATTAGATTTATTTTGTATGAAATGTGTGTGTCAGTGGATGAACACTCGAGAAAGCAGAACACAATGCCAACTGGGATGCATGATTGGCTATATTAAAATTTGATTATTAGTTTTCTCCCTTGAACACCTTTTTTTTCTATATTTCTGTTAGAGACTACAGGAGCCATAGGATTAACTGAAAAAGCCCTTTTGGCTATTACAGCATTATGTGATCTATTTTTTTTTAAAGAAAGAATATAAATAAAATGTTAAATTATTTTTTTCAAAGACCGCACACTTGACTTATCAAATAATTTGACCTTTTCGTTTTAATGGAAAGAAAATATGCTCACATTATTTCATTTTTTGGTTATTGGCAGGTATGCTAACTCTTTTACAGTGGTTATTATGAGTGTGGACACTTTAGCAGCTTAATTGCCTTGCCTGTTTGTCCTCCCATGATCAGAGCAAGAGAGAGATAGTCGCTTCTGTTTTTCAGGGGAAGAATTGAATGTGTTTTTCCATGGAGATAGGTAGCTAGGCCTACATTGTGAGAATAAGCTGGCTGATTCTGGGAAACAGGTTGAAAATCACGAGGCCAATACAAATTTTCACTCAACTGACCTTTAGAATCCTGCACCTTTTTTTTTTTTTAAATATCTGTGAGATATGAACACATGTACCTAGCATTGTTTTTGCTATCAAGGCAGATTCCCCTGGGGTGGGGAGTGAAGGGAAAAGAAGGAAGCCTGGTTCCCATCTCGTTCTTTTTTTTTTTTTTGGGGGGGGGGTAGGTTCACTTTAATGCTGCCTTTAATTTTCCAAAGTCAACCTTATTGTACTTTCCCTGCATTATGAAAAATAAGCCAGGTTCTATTATGGAAACTTTGTAAAATGAAAATAATTAGAAAGAAAGGATGCTTACTAAATGCTATTTCCACTACTCAAGCAAAATCTATCTATATTAGTATATTTTTTGTGTTCTTTTTTCCCCTGTACTTTTCTTGATTTTGTTCTATATGATTATGACATTATATATGCACTTTTGAATCTTGTTCTTATTTCATTTAATATAAACATTTCTTAGACTATTGTGAATTCTTTGTAAAGCTACTTTAAAATTTATTTGGGTCTATCAAGAGTGTACTATAGTTTCCTTAACCATAATCTGTGGTCACATTTGGCACCATCACAATAGTACTGCATTGGCGGAGGTCAAATGCAGAGGTATAATTAGTATTTCTGATTTTTGTTTTTGCCATAAGAAGACTTTAAAAAATAAAATGTAATTAGAAAGAAAGGAAGCTTTACTAAGTGCTATTTCCACTACTCAGATACATGTTATCAGACTGCTTTCCAAAAGAATTATCAGAGGTTTAAAATTTCATAAGCAATGTATCAGAGTTTCTGCTTTGCTTCACTCTAACCAGCACTGTATATTATCTTAAAAAATAAATATCAAGCCGGGCACGGTGGCACATGCCTGTAATCCCAGCGGCTCAGGAAGTTGAGACAGGAAGATGGCAAGTTCAAAGCCAGCCTCAACAAGGGCGAGGCACTAAGCAACTCAGTGAGACCCTGTCTCTAAATGAAATACAAAATGGGGCTGGGGATGTGGCTCAGTAGTTGAGCGCCCCTGTGTTCAATCCCCAGTAAAATAAATAAATACATAAATAAATAAATATCACACTTTGTTGGATTAGTAAGAGAAACATTGTATTTTATAGCTATTTCACTTTGCCCTCTTCCTTATTTCTTTTTAGATGATAGTTATATACTTGTTGGGACTTGTTTTATGACAAGTTTATTTGTCATTTGATATACCTATAATTGCTTTTGTTTATAAAATGCACATAATTATTTCAAATGTTTTATCTGCATAAAGCATATGTATTTCTTACTCATATATTGCTCCTTATACCAATACAAAATTTTAAAAATTATCCCTATTAGAGTTTATTGCATCTTTCTCTCTATATTCTAACAGATAATGAAAGAACAGAGCTGGACTTATAGCGCAGTTCCTGCTTCCCCGAGTCTGTGTGTTTCTTTCCACCCAAGAAGAACATTATGTTTTTTGGACTATATCTTTATTTTTGTCTCATTTTTCTATTTTAGTTTTTTTTTTTTTTTTCTTGTCAGTAATACACTCGGAGAGCAGTTTTATTGTTATAACCCATGCCTCCGAATGTTAAATTCATTTCTTGGGAGATTCTGAGCAAGCTTGAAGAAGCTGAGTAGGATTCCACAGAGGACGATTTATGGAAAAGACAAGCAAAAGAATGACTCACATTTCAAGAGTTTCCTCCAACTTGAAACATTTATTCGAATCTTAACTAAGATGGACAGCTGTTCATTCTATAATGATTTTGATTTTGCAACATGAATTTGAAAAATCAGTGTATATTTTGACAGTGAAAAGTCAACACATGGAGAGCAAGAATTCTATTAAGAGGACATGAACTTAATGAGACAGAAAACAAGCCTAGTGAGGGCAGGAGAGTCTCTGTGGAGATGTGGTGTCCCTCTGGGCTTAGTTCAGAAATAAACGTTCTTCAGTTTAAATTCTGGTTATAGGTCATTAGGTAATTCAGGATTGCTTTATTGCTATTTCTTTGCTTTTAAAGACAAAGGATTGATGCAGCTAAGGGCATCCTTGATGTGTTATAAACAATTAGGAGGCTATCAGGTTATTCAGTTAAAGCAATAAAAAATAAATTCATACATAGCCTTCTAGTTATATCTTCATTTTTATTCTACTTTTGAGTCACTATCAGTTTGAGATTTCTTCTCAGGCAGCATACAAAGAGGTAAAATTAATAAATGACAGTTATTCTGCATCAAGTTTTGTTACTTTTTGTGAAATAAAAGGATCTTCTTTGTATTGCAATAAAAAAAATTCTGTGGATTTTTAAAAAATATTTTGAGTCATTTAATAGCTTTCAACTGACATGCCTTCACCCGCTTTTAAATCCAATCAATGTGTCTTCCTTGCTGTCCCCCCATTTCTGCCTCTGCTCCCCTGACCCTGTTCACTGACTGCATCACAGGTTTACCATGTTGTCACCTCTGAGAACATCTGAGAAAGAGGTAAAAATATAGCCTTCAAAGTCTCACCAGAGGAGCCTGAACTGGCTCCATTGTCACTGATCAACTAGATTAAGCCAATTGTAGAGTCACTTTTCTCAAAAAGCTGAACCCGTTATGAATTAGCTATAAACTACATATTTTCTTTCAAGCCTACATTTGAAATTGTTTTAACTAGCACCAATCTTATGCTTTACACAATTCTTCAGGTTTAAGTTCAGTGGATTTTATGAAGCACATAGATTTTGCCTCCAATATAAAAATATCTGTGTTCCTTGTGTTAGTCAGACTTTTGTCACTGTGACAAAATACTTCAGAAAACTGACTTAAAGGAGACAAAATTCAATTTTGTCTTATGGTTTCAGTGCATGGTCACTTGCACCCATACTTTGGGTCTGTGCCATGGCAGAAGAACATCATGGTGAAGAGCAGGTGATATAGCGGAGCTGGTCATCTTATGATATCCAAGAAGCCAAGAGAAAGGCGGGGGTTGGGGGTGAGGAAGGGACCAGGATCCTAATATGCCTTTCAAGGACATGCCCCTATAACCTAACTTCCTTCCATCTTTTCCCATCCCCTAAAGATTCTATCACCTTCCAAAAGTACACAGGCTGGTGACAACGCCTTTAGCCTATGGTACTGTGGGGGTGTGTGTAAGATCCAAACTGTAACACTACTGTTTACTTATATTTCCCCATGGTTCATCTATGTCATTATCTTGCTGCCATGTATCTATTATCTTATTGTTACAAAAGATGACTGTTTAGGGCTGAGGATATAGCTCAGTTGGTAGAGTGCTTCCCTTTGATCCCTAGCACCAAAAAACAAAACAAACTAACAAAAGATGACTGTTTATAGAGGGTTTACCTATGTCTCATTGTTAATATAGTAAGCATTTAGATTCAAACTCAATTTTATTGATTTCAGGTGTACTTCTCTTAATGCAGCACAGTAGGATATGAGATTTGCTACAATGATATTCTGCTTAAGAATCACAAACTCTGAGTGGATAAAGCAGCAGCAGCTGCAGCAGCAGCTGCAGCAGCAGCTAAATCAGATAAAAAAGATCAGAAGAGGTCTGCAGCAGGCAAGAAACCTGTGATAAAGAATCTGGGAAAGAAGGCTGTTGGTGTTAAGGAGAAGAAGCCTGTGGGGGGAAAGGCTGCACCTGCCAAGAAACCAACAGCTGAAAAGAAACCTGTTGCAGAGAGAAAAAAAGTCTGCTGCATAATTTCTTAAAAATCCGTTTGATTCCATAAGTTCAAATAATTTTGGACAGTTTAGTTTGAATAAAGAGCTGAATAAAGATGCAGTGAATAAAAAAAAAGACAAAGTGACGCAGTAGTAAAAGGATGGGTTTTGAAATCAAACTCGGATGTAAATATGGCTATGCCACTCATAAACTCTGTGATCCTGAGAAAGTTAATCTCATTGAGTTTCAATCAACTAATCTATAAAAGGAAGATGATGCTACTTACCTGTAGGGTTATTGTGATAATGTATGTAAGGTACATGTAATACACGTACTTACTCAGTTAAATATTTGCAGGGATGAATTTTTTATTCAGACTTATCTCCAACTATTTAATGAGCTCACAGTGTCAACAATGGACTGGCTTCATGACTGGTGGATTTAAATGTCATGGACAGAATCTATTTCAAAATCCTGTGTACTATTCCTATTTATAATGTCCCATAATTATTTTGGTTAGTGCAAAGCCTACCTACCTTCCACATGTTCAAATCTTACCTTGCTCTTAGGCCTTGAATAATTTAAGTATCTTTGTTCTCTGTCACCTCTATCCCCAAATCTACATGGTACTAATTTTATGATATTGCCTTTTTCCTTAAATATTCCATTTTCCCTTGACAAAATTCTAGTTCATGGTGGATTAAAGACCCTTTTCTTATATTTTCTTCATAAATATCTTAGCACTAGTATAGTGTCTGACTCCTAGAAAAATGCTATTTCCTTAGTAAATTATTAGCAAAGGTCATATTTATATACAAGATAAGCAACCTAAAATTCAAACAAATATGATAGAAAGTACTTTGTTTCCATATTATTGCTGAAATTGGGAAATTTCATATTAAAATTTCCTGATTTAGAAATGTTACATCATAGGGGTTGGGGATGTGGCTCAAGTGGTAGTGCGTTCGCCTGGCATGTGTGAGGCACTGGGTTCAATCCTCAGCACCACATAAAAATAAAATAAAGATATTGTGTCCACATAAAAAATAAATATTAAAATATTAAAAAAACATTTTAAAAAAGTCACATCATGGTAATGATGAATAATTACATTCAGTTTAATATAATAATGTTTATTAAAGCTATTTGTGTAAAGAAGTAAGTAATGAAATAATTAGAAAAAATGATTGGCAAAGATAGTTTGAAATCTGATGTAGAGAAAAATATATGTCAGTATAAAATACTTCTGATACATTTTTAAGTTGATTTTAGTTTTTATAGCAGTTTATGTTCAAAGAAGAATTAATTGTAAATAAAAAGGATATTTTTGTTTGTAATGCATAGAAACCTGTCCACTACACAATAAGTTCACCTAAAATAAAAGATTCTGTCATATATGTACTCCAGTATTCTGGATCATGTTTTAGCAGCACATTTACTAAAAAGTGCCTTCACCTTCATTTCCATTCTTTAGTAAACACAGAATCTCATCATTATATAATGAGGTTATAATGAGGCTAGAACTAATAGTCTATAAAAAGATGAGTTCCTTAGGAACTCTGCCCCAAAATGTCACATATAGAGAAAGGTGGCTGACACCCAGTTTTAATGTTATTACAGGAATTAGTATAACACCCCATGGAATACACATACAAAACCTGAAACACTGTTATGCTTATAAGTGGGCTATGGAGACATGGTTCCTGACTGTACACATATAATACCTTCTGTGTATGTTTAGACCTAAGACTTGGCACTGGAAGAAATGAGCTCCAGACTCCAACCTCTATCCTATAACAACTCTGGTGCTTTCATTCCTCACTAATGCAAGCCAATGTGGAAGAAAACAAAGAGCCCAGTTGTGTTGCTCCCAAGTGAGATGGGGCAGGCTAATGTGCAAGACGGGCCAAGTCCTGCCCAGATCTCAGAACTGGGCCAGGTAAGAAAACAGGCAGTGTTAGGGTCAGGAGCTCAGGCTCTTACCAGAAGCTATCTTTATCCAAATTCTCTCAAAAAGGAGAAAAGTAGAGTAATTTGTCTTTTTGTTTTGTTTATTCTAATTTGTTATATATGACAGCAGAATGTATTATAACTCATATTACACATATATAGCACAATGTTTCATGTCTCTGGTTGTACATAAAGTAGAGTTACACCATTTGTGTCTTCATACGTACACTTTGGGTAATGATGTCCATCTGGTTCTACCATCTTTCCTACCCCAATGCCCCCTTTCTTACCCTCCCACACCTTTGCCCTATCTAGTGTTTGTCTAATCTTCCAATGCTCACTCCCAACCCCATCATGAATCAATATACTTATATCAGAGAAAACATTTGGTATTTGGTTTTTTCTCTATCATGTCAGATTAGACCCCAACTTCCTTAATAAGACTCCTATAGCACAAGATTTAAAATCAAGACTCAATAAATGGGATGGATTCAAACTAAAAAGCTTCTTCTTAGGAAAAGAAACAGTGAGGTGAATAGAGAGCCTACATTTTGAGAGCAAATTTTTACTACATACACATCAGATAGAGCACTAATCTCTAGGATATATAAAGAACTCATAAATCTTAACACCAAAAAACCCAAATAACCCAATCAGTAAATGGGCCAAGGAACTGAACAGAGTGATTTGTCTTTTATTTTTTAATTTTTTTTAGTTTTATTGATTTTTTTTACTACATGACAGCAGAATAAATGCATTACAATTCTTATTACACATATATACCACAATTTTTCATATCTCTGTTTGTGTATAAAGTATTTTGACACCCAATTTGTGTCTTCATACATGTACTTTGGATAATGATGTCCATCACATTCCACCGCCCTTGGTAATCCCTTGCCCCCTCCCTTTCCTTCCCATCACTCTTCCCTATCTAGAATTCATCTAATCCTCCCATGCTCCCCGTCCCTACCCACTATGAGGTGATTTGTCTTTTATATGTACATGCAGGTATGTGTCTTACAGTTATTTACCATGGTTTGAAAAATATATGAAAATCCAGATTTGAATTGGTCTGCCTTTTTATTATCTACCAGGAAAACTTAAAAATCAAGTAAATGATGAGAAAAAGTTACTAAAAATCAATATAATTACTTAAGAGAACAAAAATTTTTCAACAACTTCAGTAGTTAGAAGTATATTAGAAAAACCTGTTGCTAGGATAATTGCCATTTGTAGTATCTTAAAAGTCTATATATTTTATACTTGTTCATTATACTTTTACTTAACAATGACTAAAATGTTTAATTGCTGTTTTAAAAATCTGTGCTCATACTTTTCATTAATCCAGGTTTTACTGGATGTTTTGCTAATTTCAAAATATCTCTAAGCTCATGCTATAGATAACAGTATTTCTCTGTTTCATTCATGTTTTAAGGCTTTATTTTCATTATCTGAATTTTTTTATTCCAAAATAACTTATATGATATATATGTACATATATACATATGTAAATATCTAAAATTATTACTACACACACTGCATTTAAGAACTTTCGTATTGTTTAAAAAAAATACTCACCCAGCCTATAAGCTTCTTGTGGGCAGGATCTGTTCCTTAAACATCTACCTATAAAGTGTAGCACAGTCAGGTCTAAGCACACAGAAATTGCTCAGTGAGGAATGATGGG